AACATCAAGGCCCTACAGAGCGTTGGTCAGATCATTGGGGAGGTGCTGAAACAGCTCGACGAGGAGAGATGTAGGTCTACCTTGGCTCATTGTGTCCTTGAGAAGAGAGATCTGGGACTCGTTGCGCACGTTGCTGGTCATAAATCTGCCGCCGTTTCTGTACCAAGAGCTGACCTCTATAGTCATTGTCAAGGCTTCCTCAGGACCTCGATATGTTGTCGGTTGCCGCTCCAAGGTCGACAAGGCGAAGCTGAAGCAGGGTACCCGGGTTGCCCTGGATATGACTACGTTGACGATTATGCGGATGCTTCCCAGAGAGGTCGATCCGTTGGTATACAATATGTCGCTGGAGGACCCGGGTCAGATCAACTTTGCAGGCATCGGTGGTCTAAATGACCAAATTCGTGAGCTACGCGAGGTGATCGAATTGCCGTTGAAGAACCCCGAACTGTTCCAACGAGTGGGTATCAAGCCGCCCAAGGGTGTCTTGCTCTACGGTCCCCCAGGTACGGGTAAGACGCTCCTGGCACGTGCTGTCGCAAGCTCAATGGAAACCAACTTCTTGAAAGGTATGCATCTCAAAGACATAGGGATCGTCGCTCCTGCTAATGCTCTCCTTACCCAGTGGTGTCATCTGCTATTGTCGATAAGTATATTGGTGAATCCGCACGGCTGATACGAGAGATGTTCGGATACGCCAAGGAGCACGAGCCCTGCATCATTTTCATGGACGAAATTGACGCCATCGGAGGACGACGTTTCTCAGAGGGTACCTCTGCGGATCGAGAAATTCAACGAACATTGATGGAGCTGCTCAATCAGCTGGACGGCTTTGATTATTTGGGCAAGACTAAGATCATCATGGCCACGAATCGGCCGGACACCCTAGACCCAGCTCTATTGCGTGCTGGTCGTCTGGACCGGAAGATCGAGATCCCCTTGCCTAACGAGGTTGGTCGTCTCGAGATTCTGAAGATCCACTCTAGCACTGTCAAAATGGACGGGGAGATCGATTTCGAGAGCGTGGTGAAGATGAGTGACGGCCTCAATGGTGCCGATCTTCGCAACGTTGTCACCGAAGCGTAAGTGGCTATCCCAGCTGATTACTTTGCTCGAATCAATGCAGTGATCTCCAGACTGACTGTGATCTAGTGGTCTATTTGCAATCAAGGACTACCGCGATGCGATTAATCAGGATGATTTCAACCGGGCTGTGCGGAAGGTGGCTGAGGCGAAGAAGCTGGAGGGCAAGCTTGAATACCAGAAGTTGTAAATGCATTTCGAGGAATGGTTTTACCTCGCACTTAGCCGTCATGTTTTAGAAACCTGTTTAAATCCACTGACACGGTCCGCCGACATTGATTCTGGATAATGTAACTGTAGATCAAAGATTCTCTTCGCACCCAGAATATTAATGGGATACGCGGTTTAGTGTGTGTATCCTACTCGACTTTGGTGGAGTGATATGGAATCAGTCACTAGTAGCTCCACATAGTCCGGAACATAGACCCTGGAATGGAACCCTGGCTGGGGAAAAGAGATGTCTAGTGAATATGTCATCGAGATGATGCTGTACAGTGTACAAATAACTTTACTTACTATGAGGACTTACTACTCCATAGCTGGAGCAGCATGGGAAATGAACGCCAAGGCGGACTGAGGCCCCGAAATACGTTGCTTGATTACGAGTTACGAGTGACTTTACTCATAATACGTACCTTGACCGAACGGGAGGGAGGAAGAGGCGGATCTGCATCCTTGACCCGAAAGTCGGAGACGTTACACGCGTCCAGGCCATCCTCACCATTAATTACTTACTCTAATTTATTAAGTTCACGTTGATATAACCGTTTCAGTTTCAGCCTACCGACACATCTGGACACTTGTTCTTCACCTGATTGCTTGATATGGTAGACGAAATCCAACCACCTATCTATTCTATCATTGACCCTCACCTTCTCTCTCTCCCTCTTTCTCTTTCTCTATCCCGCCTCTGCTCGATCAATTTGGACTAAACTATTTACCGATATTGGTCAATTGTCACGGACCCTCTCCCCCGTGTAGCACGGGTGGAATTTTTGGTTGGTTGGTAAACTGTCTCATTCTTGCTTCCTCTTCATGACCCTGCAACCTGTTATCTATAATACATATTATCTCGTGCTTCAAGCATCTTGCTGACTGGTACATGTGCACTTGTTGCATGTGCTCACTGTCTAGAGCTTCCAAGCACTGTATCAATCGACTCGGTTGCCTACCTTGCTAGCCCATTGCCATCTCTTCATTCATCTGGAGCATAGCGAACAAAACACACTGTAACCAGCTGTGACGATATTGAATCATTGTTTCGGATCAAACAGACTCAGACCGTGGGGTTGTGTTTATTATTACCACATTTCAGGCTCGGGTAGACAGAGAAAGAGAGGACAGATATAGTATTTTAGTAGCAAAGGCCTTGGCGGGTCGGTAATGGTCATGGCTTTCCAGGCCCCGCGGAGCAATCCCTCTTTTCCCTCCCAACAACCATTCGAGAACAATTACTGGCGTGCGAGTCGAAGTCCCGGGTCTAATGGGTTGCCTGGGTATGGGTTTTCTCCGTCTGCGACCACTACCATCAACCTGAACACCCCGATCGCCGGCGATCGCACCCTCCCGATGTATAAAGACAAGCCGTATTTCGCCCCGCGACGCACAGGGCCCCGGGCGCGGCGAAGGAAAACCATATACGCTGGATTGTGCCTGTTGGCGCTTTTTCTATGGTGGTACTACTCGGGTTCTTCAACCCGGTCGCAGTCGAAGATTCACCATGACACTCCCGATCCGGCGAAGGGCGAAGAGCTTTGGAAATGGCTGCAGACCCTCGACGACTCTGAACCAACATATGATGGGCATAGCGCAGGTTCAAAGCACATTGATTGGGATACGAGGCGGGAACGGGTTCGCGACGCGTTCATTGTCAGCTGGGATGGTTATGAGAGCAATGCCTGGGGTAAGTTCTACAGGGCTCACGAAACCTACCTGCTCCGTCCGGCTAACGTGGTATCCCTGGGATGGTTGTTTTTGCTGAGCAGGTTACGACGAGTATCACCCAATTGCAAAGGATGGCCGGCATATGGTCGCCGGGGGTATGGGTTGGATAATTGTGGATGCGCTGGACACGTTGATGATTATGAATTTGACATCGCGGGTGCAGCACGCCCGCAGCTGGATTCACAACTCACTGCAGTATAATCAAAACCATGATGTGAACACCTTCGAAACCACCATTCGCATGCTCGGTGGCCTGCTATCCGCCCATTATCTCTCGACTATCTACCCGGATCTTGCCCCCATCAACGACGACGATGCAGGAGCACCAGGAGAGGATCTGTATATCGAGAAAGCGACCGATCTGGCCGACCGGCTCTTGGGCGCTTTTGAATCTACCACGGGCATCCCTTACTCGAGCATAAACTTGAATACCTCGACGGGTATTCCCTCTTATATCGACGATGGCGCGGCCTCCACGGCCGAAGCGACTACTGTTCAGCTAGAGTTCAAATACCTAGCTAAATTGACAGGCGAGGCGGAGTATTGGCGCTCCGTTGAGAAGGTCATGGAAGTCATTGACGCGCAGAAAAGGCAGGATGGCCTGCTTCCAATCTATGTTTGCCCAGAAACTGGTCAATTCAAGGGCGAGAATATTCGTCTCGGTAGCAGAGGCGACTCCTACTACGGTATGGTCCCGCAAGAATACACGTCCAAACTGTTGTGCTCGAACTGACACGCCGCCAGAATATCTTATCAAGCAGTACCTACAGACTTCGGAACAGGAGCCAATCTACAAGGAGATGTGGGATGAGGCTCTACTTGGCATGCGTAAGCACCTGCTTACTTACACGCAAAATGCCCGCTTGACAGTGCTCGGGGAGCGGCCTCACGGCCTTGACGGCACCTTGTCACCCAAGATGGACCACTTGGTCTGCTTCCTTCCCGGAACAATCGCCCTTGGAGCGACCGGGGGACAACCGCTCTCTGAGGCGCGCAAGTCTCCCAACTGGGGTCAACGACAAGAGGAAGAAATGCGCCTGGCGCGAGAACTGACCAAAACCTGCTGGGCCACGTACCTAGTTACTGAGACTGGCCTCGCCCCGGAAATCACCTACTTCAAAGTCGACGACCCCCGAGTCATGGAGGCAGACATGTACCCGGATTCGACGGCTGTTACTGGCAGAAACGACCAGCCAGTCACGTCACCAGGCGACCTCCCTCTCCTTTCGAAGCCTTTGTACCCAATCCCTGGCCGATCTGACCCGAACGACCCATCTACCAAAACCTGGCTTAATGACCTTGAAATCCAGCGGATGGACCGGCATAACCTCCAACGACCCGAGACTGTGGAATCCCTCTTTTACATGTACCGTATTACTGGAGATGACACTTACCGGCACTGGGGCTGGGAGATGTTCAAGTCTTTCATCAAATACACTGCTGTCGTGGAGACAGACGGCCTCGATCACGAAACAGGCGACAAACCACTGGCCGCTGGAGGATCGGGTCGCATCACTGGATTCACCTCTCTCTCGAATGCGAAATCCCTTCCTGTGACGACCAGGGACAATATGGAGAGTTTTTGGATGGCGGAGACGCTCAAGTATTTTTACCTGCTGTTCTCCGATCGGGAGTTCATCTCGTTGGAGGACAATGTGTTCAACACCGAGGCGCACCCCTTCCCTCGTTTCAAGCCCACCGGGGAGTTGAAGACGGGGTGGACGAGGAAGAGTCGCACGGCGGAGGAGAGTCAGACGATGGAGCATCTAGCTCAGATGTAATTTTTTTCTACTTGTTGTGGTAACTTGCTTGGCGATTCTTTATAGTTTGAATATCCCAAATTTCATACTTTTTGACCGTTTGCATCGTGGTTCCGAAACTTGTTTATGGTCTTGTAGATCCCATACGAAAGAGGGACCATTTTTCACAGCTCACTACACCAACCACCACCGCCTCCCAAGTATTGAAATTTACTATGACTTGAGGCCCCGCTGAACAGCAGCATCAATCAGTCGCTTATATCCCCGTACAGCCTCTTCGAGTTGCCCGACCGTGATTGCCTCATCATCCCCGTGCGCAACATGAATGCTTCCCGGCCCATATAGGTATCGCTTCACTTTCTCCGAGACCTTTAGGTTTGGCACATCCGTGCCGTAATTGACGGTCATCACCTCAAAGCCCGGGACATCGGTATCCAAGTCCTGGGGCGGATACCCTCCGCTGTACACCTCGAAATCACAGTAGACGCTCTCATCTCCGTTGGTGGCATCCTTGACCGCTTGCGCGACGATCTTCCTCGCGTCGTCCGGGGTACCCTCGGCCAGGCGAATGGCGACCTCCGCCCGCGCCTTGGCCGGGACCACGTTGGCCGCGACGCCCGCATCGACGCGACCGATGTTCACCGTCGTCCGGCCATATTTGGGGCTGGCGGGCAAGCCGCCTTCCTCGGCGGGGATCTCGCCGAGCACATCCAGCCGGGACAGCGCGGGCAGGAGCGCGGAGACGGCACTCCGGCCGAGCCACGGGTAGCCGGAGTGGGCGGCCTGGCCGGTCGCCACCAGCGGGAACTCGAGCATGCCCTTGTGGCCGGAGACGAGCGCCAGCTCGGTGGGCTCCCCAAAGATGACGGTGTGGAAGGGCGACGGGTCCGTCGGGTTGAGCGGCGACTCCGAGAAGACGCGCATCCCCAGGCCGCCGACCTCCTCGTCGACCACAAAGAGAAGCCCCAGGCCGGCCTCGGGTTGCTCCTTCAGGGTCTCGAGGACGGCGAAGACCTGCGCGGCGACGCTCGCTTTGGCGTCGACGGTGCCGCGGCCGGCGAGGGTCAGGGAGGATCGATTGCCGTGGTCGTGGTCATGGAGGGTGTAGGGGAGGAACGGAGGCACCGTGTCGATGTGGCTGGTGAGAAGGATCTCGGGCCGGTCCTGCGAGGGCGAGGCGGACGGGTAGGCGAAAATATTGAATCGGTTCTTGTCGGCGGTCGGGTCCGTTCCCTGGCTGCCGGCGGGGACGGGTTGCTTGATCACTGTGAAATTGTGCGCTTCGAGAAAGTCGGCGATGAAGAGCCCGACGGCGGTTTCGTTGCCAGACACCGAGGGGATTTGGACGAGGTTGCGGTGAAACGAAAGGAAGGGTGAGGCATCGATGATGTCCGAGGGGTCAGTAGTGAGCGACAAGGGTGATTGTTGAGGCGGTGCTGCTGCGGCAAGGCCAGCAGCTGCTAGCAGAAGGGGAATGGGAGTTTTCATGTCTATTGAAGCTGGAGAAGATGGTGAACGATAGCTATCATCGCCGAGCGAGGTAGGAGGGAGTCAATTGAGAAGTGGGGAATGAATATGAAGGGTCACGGTGGAAGAAGGACTGAGGTTCTTGGGTCTAGTTCTAGTACTGTACTACGCTAAGTAGCTAGTAGCTAGTAGCTAGTAGCTAGTAACTAGTAATTGAATTAGTAGTATCAGTATGAAGCTAAGGATGAAGGATGCTGAGGAGACACTGGAGATAAGCCGATAACCAGCCGATGCAGGCATAGATCCAAGTCACGTGGATTATCATGATTGACCTTCCTGGTCTGGAATAGTGTCGCATGGTATCATCGAGATCATCATTGAGATCATCCGGACCAGAGAAGACATGCAGCACGGTTTGAGGAAAGCACGCTTCAATGAAAACTAAACTGAAGAGGAAAAGGATCAAAATGTATGTTGATTCAAGACCCTTGCTTTCTATCATGTAAACAATGGACATTTTGCTGACTGAGTTGGTCATTTCGAATTGATCAACCATCAACCATCCTTGATCAATTTACATGTGTAGACCTGTGGTCCGTGGATAAGCCATGACGTAAATTTCCCGACAAATGACTTCTTCGCCTTGCAATAGCCGAGATGGGCTCCAATCCAACTCAAGGACCAATCGATCATTCATTCATTCATACATCCATTCATTCCTCTTTGCATCAGGGCTCAGTGCCCGGATGCTATGACGTATATGGCTGCATCTCAGCTCGCTTCGCACCACCCGGACGAAGTAACATGAATTGATCACCATCGCGATTTGAAACCTACAGGGTACGGAATAGAATGCATCAGTTTTGCAGAGTACGTGAGGTTCACGATGAAATGGAAGGGAGAGCAGCCAGCCGCAGCAGCAAATGCCGACCAGCTAACCCGATCATCTGGACCGTGGACACATGGCGCCAAGATCCCTTGCTCGCGGAAACGCGCCGTTCTTCCACCCGTTCGTCTGGCATTCTCCATCGGGCAAAATCAACTTGAACCAAGGTTCATTGGGGGGACCAAAATCCAGAGAGTGAGCCAGCCCTGAGCACCGAACAGGGATCCATCCGGTTGGCGCTGGCCATGTGGATCTGACGTCGGCACCAGCTGGATGATTATGATGGTTCAATGATGATTGAGATTTTCGGCCATGCCCACAATAGCCCACAACAACCCACAACGAACTACTCGCCTAGTAGTCCGTACTGTACAAAGCAAGTTACATGAGTACAAGTAGTACTACGATTTACACATAGTCAGGTCTAGTCTACCTCGCTGCCTCACATGCCAACAAGCAAACTAATTTAGCAGCCCCCAGACCCCGAAATCAGACCAGATCGGAGCATAGACCAAGTCTTAGAAGATGGAAATTGATGAAATGGCGGAGGGAAAGGGGGCCACAATCACATACAATGTAGTGAACCGAGGCAAGTGACGAAACGGGCGGTGATTCGCCGCAGGAAAAATCTGAGGGACAGAGAAAGACAGAAAGGGAAGTGGAAGCATTGCACTGGCCACCGCCAAAGTGCCAACTAGCTCGTCTTTCCTTTCCACCTGCTGACTGACTTGGTCGATTGAAACTGGTCGGATGTCAAAGGTTTGTGTGATAGGTTATGGTACTTTCGGCATACTTCCCTTTCCCTCTTCTCCAGTCGTGACTGGAGGGGAATGATGATGGAGCAAAACGGGGAAGAGGAAGCTAGGGGAAGCAGAAGAGGGAGGGTCACACAAGTATTTGGGAGCGCGACAGAACAAAAGAATCCACCAGCCACTGGGGTACATTGGTACCTTGTGTCCATTAGATAGGGTCGCGCTGTGTTGGACCAGTCGAGTCGGTCAGAGTCTAGACTCTACCTCACACCCATTCTCCTCTTTCTCTTCGTCCGTCGGCGGCGTCGATCTTCCTTTCACAACGATGCGCTGCCGCCGTTGAAACGTATCTGAGGGAGTCTCAGAAAGCTGGAGGACAAGATAGATCATTTGATCGTTGATCGATCGGTCAGTCCTTTTCCAGGTAAAGTTACAGGTACCAGGTAGCTTAAAGTACTTGTCCTTGTACCTGAAATCTTATTCACAGATTTCCTCAGGAACAAACAACGAGGCAACAACCTTCTTTCTCTTTCCGCGGAGTAGTTATTCGACCGTGTCTCTTCTCCGGCGCCAGGATGATGGGAGAAGCCCAGAGAACAAGGGCGAGAGCCGTGGGGGAGAAAAAGCCAGATCCATGGGCTCGTTTACTGCGGAGCGAGATGGAGCATGCTGCAAATGCACAGTCTAAAAGCACAGTACAGTCCGGAGTACTCAGCTCAGTACCTGATACAATCTCCAGATAAAAAATCTTCTCTGCTCACTCTGGTGTGTGTTTCAGTTCTGTATAATCTCTTTCTCTCTCTTTCTCTTTCCCTCTTTGGCTTTTTTTTTTGGCTAGTTTGAATCTTGTGATTAATTAGAAGTACTTTCTGTCAGTTACGATTCACCCCCTCCCGGTCATGATAGTGCAGAAAACCCTGAGGCTGGCCTGTCAGATAGCTGGATCAACTATGCAAGAAAAATTCTTCCATGGAGACATCAGAGAGCTTGGCCACTCAAAGCACCAGTGACAATGAGGTTTGTCTTTCGATCCATGGTTCATGACTGGAGGCGAAGGCAAAAATGTTATAAAGGCAGATTCTTAGTAAAGCCAAAGGGGGAAAAACGAAAAAAAGGAAGCGGAAAAATAAAAAAACCAAGAAACAAGAAACAAGAATTAAAGAAGAAAAAAAGGAAGTACTCCGTAGAGACGGAGGGAAGACTAAAGACTGTTAAGTATAACAAGAGGCAAATTGACTGGTGATTTGGTGGTTAGAATATCCATCAACTCTTCTGGAATTGATTGACCCGGTGGATTTCATTGTGATCAAGTGGTTACTTAATACTATTATTTTTAGTAGATGGTAACTGTGTGTAGTTTAGTTGTAGAATTCTGATTCATTATTGAATTCATATCTTGTTAGAAACTTTTCAATTCAGAAGACATTTTGTCTGTGCTTTTTCCTCTCTGATGATTATTATTGTCGCTGTTGCTGTTGTTTCTCATCCATCATCCATCCTGATCCATCTCCAATTCTCCCCTCCTCCTCCTCCTCCTCCTCCTCCTCCTCCTCTTTTTCCCCCTCTCTAACATTGTTGTTTCCCTCAGTTTCTTCCTTTCTGACTCCCCATTCTTCATTCCTTCTCTACTCCCTTCTTCTTTCCCCCCTCTTCTGGATTTTCTCCCGCTTCCTCCCACCTTTAATAAACGGAAGGATTCTGTTCCTGGCCCTCTTTCTCTCACCGCAAACCACCACCTTTCCCCCCCCCCCCCCTCCCCTCCTCCAACACCCGCCGATTGCCGGCAGCCTACACCTGGCTGTTTCCGCCGTGCTTTTTTGGGCTTCACCCAACCACCCTCTCTCTTCCTCGGCCACTTGTTCGTCACTCGTGTGTCTTGACAGGCTCCACGTCGGTCATTGCCTTTCGTTCTCAACATCCTTTACATCAATCACTGCATCTTCCTTCCCCATTTTCCATCTCCCCTCGCCCGACTATTCGACTATTCGCCTCTTGTGGCCAGGCCCTGTCATTTCAATAAATTCAACAAAAGTCGCACCGTGACAGGCAGACAAACGCATTTTCGGCCTCATCTCGACCTACTTACCTGTTGATTCGTCAATTCTACCCAGGTGTTGGTGTGGAAGTCATCTCGACTCATCTCAATCTATTCCACCGCCGCGCCACGTCTTCTACCAGTAGTGAGCCTAGTCCATCAGCCAGAGCCCCGTCCTGACCTCTCGCCGTGCCTCGGGGGATTCAACATTTACTTTGCTCTGGTTCCCGCTCATTCTTCTATCTTCTCTTTCGGCCTGGCATATCGTGCGCAATTTAAACAAACAATTTATTTCGGGCACCACTCCTCGGATGATGTTTTGTCGGGTCTCATACTGAACTCCATTTTCTCCCCTGCGTTCCGCGTCGTCACTCCTCACCTCCGTGTTGCCCTACACCGGCACGTGAAGTGGAAGCCTCACCATCGCCTCTCTCGTGCTCGCTCTTCTCGCTCAGTCACTGCTAGGTTTCATCACCCTGGTGGTTCCTGTCCATCGATTATGTTCAAACCCGCCCAGTTCCTCGACACTCGGCGGTGCGACAGTTCTGAAACCATGGCAGAATCGTGTTCTTCATTTCGCCAGCCCCAGTCGCCCTTGACCACGAGTTCTTCTACCCCCGTTTCACCCGCCGTGTCTCTTTTTTCGGCCAAAGGCCACACGCGTTTTTCCAGCTCCGTCTCGTCGTTGGTATCGTTCCCAGGGCACGGGACCTCCATGGAGAGTAATTCGCGCAATGCTTTGACGGGCGTAAAGGAAGAGCCCTGTGGGGAACGACCCCGAGATCTCGAGGAGGAATATTTCCGTATGTCATTGCCCTTGCGCCAACCCCGTAGCCGCCCGACGGTCTTTCCCGCGTTATATCCCAGACTGCTGATAGGATTGGGTTAACTTTTCCCTCTTTCCACAGAGCACTTCGATCAAGGACTGTCTGTGGTCGAAGACTCCGGCTTCGAGTCGTTTGACCCGGCTGACAGCTACGACCTGACCGATGCTGGCATGGACTTGAACCAATCGTCCAGGAACCGATGCTCCGACAGCATCTCAGCCAAGGGCCTTTCCCGTATTGGCTCCCGGATATCCACCATCTCCACGAGGTGGAAATCCAAACGGGCCTCAGATGGAATTGATGGGGCAGATGCATTCGCAACGCACCTGCGTTCCCGAACCAACTCAGCATCGTCAGCCATCGTTAGCCCCGTGACAGGCTCGTTTAGCCGCGTCAGCTCCATTCAAGTGCCACCATCCCCAGCCCGGACCATTTTTGAGGAGGAACTCAGCGAGTCTGGCACGCAGCCAATTAATATTGTCCGTTCGAGCAGATACAGCCAAGATGATTCGGGTCCGCAGGCAACAACTCCATTACTTCCACCTTTTATGGGGGATGAACCATCCTACCCTGCCGTCTCTCGTGTTCACTCCCCATTGCAATCACCTTCTGTGGCTGACATGACTGACGATGGCTTGAATAATTCCACTGTGTTGGATAGGCGATTGGCAGGCTTGCCGTCACCGCCTCTATCTTCAAAGCCGTCCGTTGCCTCTTTTAGTCGTCCGCGTGCCAGCACGGTACGGACAGTGTCGGGTGATGCGCCCCCATTCACCCTCTCAGATCCTAACGATGAATGGGTGAACAAATTGGGACACGCCAACTTCACGATCCAGCCTGAGCCTTATATGCCCGAAGTGATCGACGTGGATTCCCTTCAGCAGCTGCGCACCAACTGGGATCTTGCGCAATGCAATTTCGCTCGTCATCTCGTGCGGACAGGGGAACACTATGGTATTACCTCAACAATCTACAAGCTGACCGAGGAAAAATGGGAGGCGATCAATCGCGAGTGGAAGAGTCATCATGGAGCAATGCTTTCTCACCTTCGAGGTACAGAAGGAGTGCATCTGGATTTGGTCCGTTCGCACTGTGACCCTTGCCATCCGGTCAAATTACCGCGCTTGCATGACGACAAGTTTCCCGAACTAGGCGACGGCGAGATCGTCGGACCGATGAAGATTGCCCCCGCCGTTAGCGGTTCAGGCCTTTGTCGAAGCCGCTCGCTCAAACGCAACCTCTTCAAATTTTTTCAGGATCTCGTGATTCGATCCTGATCCTTCACTTAATGACCACAAACTCTACTGCGGGAGGAATCGATGTACAACATCTGACGAATGCTACGCCTCTTGAACGATCCGCTCGATTCAGCGCGTGATGACTAATGCATATGATTTTTTTGCGTCTCTGCCTATGACATTGTGATCCAATAATGATGATTGATGACCTGTTTTTGTACCTGTGACTACTATCTCATAGCGTGCAGTCCATTCATTGATGTTTAATCGACCGAAAACCCTGGTTCTACTTGTTTATCTGTGCCCTTCCGGCTATTGCCTCAGACCAATATGGAACGGTCGTGCTGTACTGCGCCTGCCGCCACATTATTACTTTGTATGCATATGCATGGTTTTTGCGATTCATGTCTTGTTCATGGTGTCAGGTTCCTTGCCTTGCTGGAGAAAGCCACATAAAGTGCTAGTAGGCATGACAAGAGCGGTGGCAGGTTATTCCTGGCTACCGAACTCTTCGGTCCGCAGGACAGGATGAGTGGCAGGAGGACCATGCTGAAAGAACAAAGTACATGTTCTGAAATCAACCAAAGAAACGGAAAATAGTTGAGATACCAAGGGGGAGGGCTCGGTATTGCAGCATTTGCGCCTTATACCCTTGAGACATACATTTTAAAACGATTCGTTTCTCCCAGAAAAGTCCACATAGCTATATCTTCAAACATACACAGATAGAATTTGATTGGATGCAATTTTTGACATCGGAGGGGTACGCTTTTGCAAAGGAAACAAAACATGTTCATGTCTTTGTACATATAAATAGTGTATTCACATTTATATTAACGATAAGTGCAAATCTCCTACCCTCCCAGGATTCCCTGGAACCGCTATACAAGTTTTTGATCCTCGCTGCTGGGAAGATGCCTGCAGATACAAAGCTAGCAGTTGATGGGGGCGGGGATAGTGGCTTTGCCGGAACAAAAAGAAACCGACCAAGCCCGAGCAAAACCCATACAACGAACGACTGAGTGACTGCAGCGCAATGCCTCGTGATGAAGCTGTATATCACTGGTTACACCCAGTACTGGCTCCAAAGACGCTTTGCTTCCTCATCTCCCCGGAACCGGAACTCTACCCGAATGATATCTTTGAAACCCTCGTCCATGGAAGGCTCCTTGAAACGACGAAGGAAGTCCCCGAAGGCGATACCGGGAAGAAGGGTACGGGATTCCGGATTCTGCAGTGCCCGTATGTGGGCGAAATGGTCAGTTGGGATTCTAATTTCGTAGTTTTTCTGGGAAAGAAAAAGAAGGGATAGGTGAGGGAGGAAGGGGGGGGGGGGGGGGGATTCGAATGAGGACAGGTGCGGGGTGCACCATGGCAGAATTGGAATCAACATGGAAAATTCAACAGAAAGAGTGAGGTTCCAAAATCTCATGGAGAACTGGGGAGGGGGTGGTGGTGGTGGTGGGAAAGTGAGGGCTTGGGGCAAGGGAAAGACAGCTCAGACACAGCCCAATGAGGGTAGATACACGTGATATGGGATAGACAAGCCAAGTTCATAGTCGGCACTATGCTAGACCCAAATAGGAACTTTTTTCAGTTGATAGATAGCTACTTGTGGGGGACTGAGTGTCTTGTACCCTGTACGCTCCGAAGAAAGCGAGCGAATGACGTAGAGAAGAACACTGGAAGTCAAACCAGATGTGCAACGTACCAGGGATAGGTTAGCAGCACGGACCGCATTGTTATGCCGGCAGAGGGTCGGGGAAGCAGTGAAATATACGCAGCGAATCGGCACCTTGAACTCCCTAGCCACTGCAACCCACTGGGCTCTCGTCTCTGCATCGGCATTGGTATTATCTGTGTAGAGTATGGCATGCCGCCAAAAAGTCAACGAGTCATCCAGTTGTCGCCCTCCACGGTCTATTGGGTCTGGGGCAAACATTGCGACGTGGGCGGGCCTGAGAGAGGATTTGCAGCAGTAACGAGGGTCTGGGCTGGATAATTGCGAAATGTCCGCGTAACATGCGAGAGGGTTGAGCGACAAGAAAAGGGTCGGGGTGTGCTGTACGTACCAACCACCACAGGTTTTCCGGCTGCAAGGTGTTCCTTTGCCACTTTTATGCACTTAGGGCGCTATCGCAAACGATCGGTCGGTCAGTTTCCTTGTTGATATGGACTTTCCTCGTATACATCCATCTGACACGGCAGGAAGGGCCCGTATTGCTTTTTCTTGGAGGTGCTCTGACTCATCTTTGGAGTATGCAAATTGACAAATGCAGACAGACGAAAGTGAAGTCAACTCAGACAAGGTAAAAGAGAGTAGACGTACAGTTTTGAGGAGGTCTTGGTTGACTCGTTCGTAGTTCAATGGTTCTAAATAGTCCCAGTAGAACGTTGACTTGCCCGCTCCCGGGCTGCCGCAGAAGATCACCAATTCAAGTGGGCTCTCTCCGGAAAAAGGAGGCGACACTGCTTCGTCCGTTATTGAATATCGAAGATAGACCCGTGGCGGGTTCGCAATCATCCTACATGAGATGACATACCATCCTCACCAGGAGCTTCTTGCAGATACGTGGACGGGTCGAACGGTACCACGAGTGGTTCTGGATCAGCGTCCAGGAAAAATTCCTCGGGGGTCTTGAAGGACAGTCCAGCATTGATAGCGAACCCACTTCAGCTGCCGTTAGCAAGGGAAAGGAATATGGTCGGTTTCTGGCTCACCGATCTACTTGCGAGTGGTCTCTCGGCCGTCCAGCGGCATCGCCAACAAAAACAGAATGGCGGAGGTCGACACCAGAAATGTCGAAGTCGTAATCGTCTAGGAACTCTGTCCAGAGTCCTGTTCTAGGTTTCCGGTAGCCATCATCTTCTGTGGCAGCGTAGACGCTCATCGGGATATCCAGTTGCTTCATAACAGCAGCAGCTCTTTCCTTGAAGTTTGTAAGACTCTTGGAGTCGCTGTTGCCAACCTTGGTCTCCTTTTTCAAGCTGATCTTTTTCTGGTTCGTTATGACGATCACATAATATCTTCGAAATCAGCAACTGGAGACTATTGTAGCAATGGAAGAGCTTCCGCCATTTCATCACATACCCCTTCGCATTTAACTCTCTGAGTTTGGTCGGCACCGTACTATGCCACCACTTCCAGTCTGCTGAGCTTTTAGGAAATGTGTTTCCCGACGCTGTAGACACCAGGGTCGAGTCCTGCGATGGTGCGTCGGTTAGCATGGGGAGAGGGTTCCCTCATTGTGAAGTGAGTCCAGTCTCATGATCCTTACCAGATCAAAGGCAGCGACTTTGGGCTTTTCGGCCGTCTGTTTGCGCTCGGCTTCAGCGACATACTTACCTATTATGGCGCTGTTGTTCACCACGCGCCAAGTGATCTGCTCGGGTTTCTTTTGTGAAGCAGGGGTGAAAAACGATGACACAGCTCTCTCTATTATGGCGTCAGATAAGACCCCAAACAATCTCTGGTCGATATAGTTCCGGGCCTGAATCTGCACAATGATCTTGACTTACTAGTGATGGTGGATTCCACCTTTCGCTTGACCGGGGGCGGAGAGATGGCGCGACTGGGGGACGCTGCTCGTTTGGTGGCCCCAGCACCGGCCATTCTGAGATATTGCAGGCGGGGGATAATCTTTAATGATATTTTGAGATTGGTGATTTTGCTTTTCTAATGGGCGTTGAGCGACACGGACGAACTGTTGAATGAGCACCTGCTGATTGGGAGAGTGTGCCCGGTTCAATGCACAAGTCGAAAAGTGGAAGGGAGACGCGCGGGTACACGCGAAAAGCCATCACGAAGTCACATGCTCAAATGTAAAATTGCTGGAATCACCAAAGCCGATCAGTGCAACCGCCAAAAACTGATATGTTTATATATCGACTATAATGTTCTAAGTCGTCAGCCGGTATCTTTGGTTCTCAAATACATCTCGCGACTTTACTCCTACTTAATCTTCGTCTGAAGCATCGGATGTACATTGATAATAGAGCTAAACCACAGGAACAGAGAGCCAACATAGCTCCGGGGGTATAAAACATTGCGAAAGAAGCAAACGCCAGAATGCATCAGTTACTTCGCTCGGGTATCCAGAGACAGCCTATCTGCTTGTTCGAGCCGCACAGCCGACTTGAGTTGCTCTCGAAGCCCGAACAGATGCTGAGAAGCCGTCTTCATCATTTCCTGGTTGCTTCCGTCCTGGACAGTAATTGCGGCTTGCAGGACGTAACTACCAGTTCGCTCGAGCGGGGTGAGCTCGTGATAAGCAGGTAGCTGCCGTCGAGGGCCATGTAAGTCCTGCGACTCCGCCTGGGGATACAGCAAGACGCGATGGAGGAAGATGACGATATCATTCTGGACGAAGACATCTCCTTCTACCATGTACTCGGTAACAAAACTGACATTCCAGGTCAGTTTCGTTCGTCTGCAGTCTTCTAGGTACGAGTGGGGAAGTGGCGGGCGTATCAGCTACGGGGTAGAGACCGACCTATAGCCCCAGGCATTCATGGGAACTGCAATATCACCTTTAGGCAAGCTTGCACTTGCCATCAAGCGAGTGGTCACAGCCGATCGAGTCCCGGCCTCGGGAATGTCTCTGAACTCCAGCTTCCAGGGTTGGTTTTCGTAGCAGTAGGAGGACTGGTCGGTTCCAGACATAGACACATCTGCATCATGGGAGGCTGACATGGCTGACGAAGAGGTCGCGCCAAAATCCGCCTTGGTCACAGGGCCAACGACCTGGGTGTAGTACATGCCCCCATTCAACATCTTGTTCAAACGTTGCAGGTCGGCGCCCTGCACATCCTGACTGGCTCCCACACGGGTGGTGACAAGGCCTGGCTTGCGATAGGCCTTGAAGACCAGCCGTCTCTCCAAGCGGTGATGCGGTTGCATGGCTGTCAAGCCGGCCAGCTGTTGGAGGAGCTCATGGTGCTGATGGGCTGGGACGGAGGCGAAGAGAAGTAGCTCATGCATGATCACAAGGGAAATAAAGAAAGATTAAGACTAAGAAGAATAAAATCCGAGATCAAGAGGAGGGAGGGGGGGAAGGGGGATAAGGTGTGCCTAACTCCGTCTAGCAGGTTCGGCGCCACGATTTTGTCGGTGCTTCTGGGAGGTCAGTGGTTTGGGAGGGATTTTAGGTAAGCTTTCCAATAGCTTCGAGATTCGAGCCTTGATTGACGGCCTTGGCGCCGCGGAGCCTTGGAGCCTTGAAGCTTCCAAGAAAGCTCAGGCAGGGAATACGGGTAAACCCGGGATAGGAATCGGTCCCAAGAAGGGAAATTTTCCACCCGGCACTTCTTTTTTTTTGAGACCCAGAGGTAGTAGATCAATGGTACTACTACGGTAGTGCATTACCCTCCCTACTTTCCCCGGCGTAATGATGATGGACAAAGGAATCAGTGCTAGTCTTATAGTTCCCTATATTGGTGAGGAATGTACCTACTCAGACTAAAGTACTACGACTCCATGCTTATGAATTATACTACTATCTACTGGAAGTTCTGTGAATAGTACGGATAGTATGTATGTGATGCGGGGATGAACATCCGGGAGGGGGAAAGGTCAAAATACCCCCCTCCCTCCTCCTCCTCCTCCTCCTCCCTTCTCCCCATAATAACGTGATGATCACGCCAGATGGGTAATCAGACGGTGGACTTGTACTTTACAGTAGCACATAAATGTCGAGATAAGACTGGTTACACCATAGTGACCCAAGTGACTGCAGCCCTCACAGGCTGCTTTAGTCAGGCACGCCTCCTTCACCGAGATTGCGGGTTTAGGCAAAGCTCGGGGCAGCCCGACGTCCTTCGGAGCCGTTGATTTGGGGAAAGATGAGGGGAAACACATCCCTGGATTCCCTTCAGCGGTCCAGCGGCCGGTGGCTTCATTGATAGGTGAATAGGTGAGTGATTGTCAGATCATGCCACAGAAAGAGGAATGTTTTCCGCCTGGCGAGATCAATCGAGAGATGATCGCAGCTGAGGGGGGAGAAGAAGAAGAAGAAGAAGGGGAGAATTTAGCCTTTCGGGGGGTAAAATCCGGCGGCCGGCGGGTGTGGTTGTTGTTGTTAATAATTAATAGCCCGTCATTAACTAACAGTTAACTCTCACTCCATACAGACTTACTCGTATGCGTAGGAGGTGCTTATCAGAAGAAAAAAAACCCACACCCTCGCTTCCGCTCCCCGAAGACTCGACCGATCACCGACCGACGTCGTCTTCCATTCGCCTTTTTCCTCTTCCTCCCTCCACCCTTCTCCCACCCCCCCCCCCCCCCTCCCCTCCTCCTCCTCCTCTCGCTCATCCTGCTCCTCCTCAGTCTTCACTTAATTCAATTCCTCTCCCACCCCTCCACCCCTCCCTCGATCTTCCTCTTTCTCTATACATACACAATCTCGTCCCGCCTATTGCCTATATAATTGCCCTGAATTCATCTTTGTGATACACCAGCTTGCCGTACCTACGATCAATTTCCCGCCCCTGCTCATTTCCTCATTTCTCCAACCGGTTTTATCGCCCACATCGGTCGCTTCGGACAGTCCCGGAAAGCTTGCTCGAGTGCTCAACACGCCTGTCTATTTCTTACCCTAGACTTCTTCTCCAGCCGATATAACTTGATCAAAGATCTTATCTTACACTATCACAATGCACGCCACCATGGTTCTCCGTAACGCTGCTCGCACCCCTCTCATTCGTTTCCTCGGAAAGCGCTCTGTGCCTAGTTGGT